ATGATTCTGGTAGGTTATCACTGATAATTGGTTTCAACAGAAAGAAAATTTCCAGACCGCCTAATGTCTGATCATGCTATTTATGATTAATGCATAATTTTTTGTGGGACTATTTTAAAAAGCTAATTAGTGATTGAAAACAAGGCGTGGTCGCCGTGGATATCTCCAATATTATATTTTAATGTATTCTTTTAAATATAAATAAAATATAAAGGAGCAGTTTATAATATAGCACTTCTCTGTAGTGTGGTCATTATTCAAAATTGGGGCTTTGTACTAAACATGTATTGTTCTATTGTTCGATTAGACCGATTGTAAACCTAAAAGCCAAGAAGAAAAATATATTAAACTACTTATGAATAAAAATAAAGCTTTTGAAATTGTAGAATTGATAAAAAAAAACATATTATCTTAAATATACGTATGTATATCGTTAATCGTTGTCATCACTGTGATACTGACAAACAACATCCCAAAAAAACATGTCAGTTACGAAACCTTCAATTCTCTCACACCATTATAGCAGTCAACATTCATACAATAGAAGAAATCTGAAGTGAGCATTCATTCTCTCGTTCATTCAACAACCGGAAGTAACATTCATTCAATCATGTTTTTTTTTTTTTTTTTTTTTTTGGAAATTAGTTTTTATGTGCAAATACACTTCAGGCAAATAACATTTTGTTGTGAATAATAAATGAATAATGAATGATGTGCTGATAATTGAAATTTTGAAAAAGTTTTTAATGAAACAATTTCAATTCTAAGCCAATTGATTGATTTGTTATGAGCGGTGCAAATCAAAAAATACATTTTGCTATTAATTTTGAATATTTGATATTTGTGTAAACAACATTACGTTTAAATGTTATTTAATATATGTGTAATATAAATGTATATGTACATAGTATTCAGTGTATAGTGGTATAGTGTATGTGTACATAGTATTCAGTGTATAGTGGTATAGAAATAAAAAACAGGTAAATAATTCTTGAACTGTTAAAGGATGGAAGAGAAAGTGTTGTAATAAGAACAAGGTATATAATTTATATATCAATAGATTGGAAATTAAGTCAACTTTTCAAAAATGTATACTTTACTTTTAATAGTGTGCGCCCTTTGGAATAAAGTATAGCCGATTGCTATATTATTATTATGTGCGCTACAAACTTCAGCGCAAACCCAATATACTCTACCCACTAAAATGAAGTGGTGGGTATATAACTCTAACTTGTTTTTAGAGCAGAATAGCTTTATGGAATTATATGAGCCACCCTAGTACTATTTCATTTTATGGTTTTCAATTTATTTTTTTTCCAAACAAAACAATAAATCTATCGAATGCAATTAATACTTTAGAAAACTTTTTTTCATATAAATTACATTGTCTTTGTTCCTGAGTTTTGTAATTTATGAAGTGTAAAGTCAATGCAAATTTTTAATAAAAGATTTCTACAAAATATGAAGATACTTGAAAATTAGATATACTAAAACAATAGACGGGCTGGATTGACAATATTATAACTTAAATAGGGCGTTATGTATGAGGACAAGGATAAATTTGGACTTATCCTTATTAAAATTGGTAGAGGGATTTTCGTTTACATTAAAGTTATTTATGCAGAATATTACCATGATACTAGTCAAGTCATTTTTTCAACTTTGTTTGGGGGTAGGGTCAAAAAAGGCCTGACCATTTAAAAATCAGCAAAAAATTTTATATAAAATGATGATGTGTCGATTTTTGTAGAGATACTAGAACATTTAACATAATTATGAACTCAAGAGCCCTATTCGTGGGTTACGGTTGTATGAGGGCTAGGTGAAATTATGATCCAATTTTCAATATTCTTGGTTCTTGGATCAACAAAAGAGTATGTGCCAAATTTCATAAAATTTCTTGCAACCTGGACACATAGATAGACTGATTGACAGACAGACAGACAAGATGTCTAAGTGCTTAACGTGAACAATTTCCCACGACGGCCTTATTTCACAGTGGTCTTTTTCATTCACTGGGTAGACTTGAGACGCCCCTGAATCCTTCTATGAGGAACTCAGGTGGCAATTGTTGTGCAGGGCTGTTCCGGTCCATGTATAAGCACTTTGCTGAAGTACTCGAGCTATCTAATATCTTGCGATAGTAGCCCCATTGCGGAATGACAGGCAGAATGGGACCAATGCCAATGCAAACCCCGACAAGGAAAAATCAATCACTGTTCTAAAGTCAATAGAGGGGGAGACTACCACAACATCAGATGAAATCAATCTTCCGGTAAACCGGAAGGTGAGTGCCCTTTTGATGTCGTGTCATTAATGACCCATTCCAGTGCATACCTTAACCTCTTAACCACTCTACTAAGAATTCCCTGTTGATTCGGCAACAGCATCTAGATACGTATTTGGTAGTCCGAAATATCCAGCCAATAAATCAGGATCCCTCGGTATGTCAGATAATGTGACAAAGGATGTAGGAGTTTCGAAAATTAATTCGAACCCAATAATTGCCCCGACAAGTTGAGTAGAAGGCCTCAACTATAAGTCGCGTAGCATGAAACAATATGCATCCTGTTGAGATGACAACAGCACCGAGAACTTCCCTGAAGTAAAAGATCTACTAAATCAGTACTAGTCTCCTGTCGGGCAGAGGAGACTTTCCCGATCGTTCACTAATTACATCAGTTCCATTCTCAGTCCATAAAGAACGATCTACGGAATGATAGGCAACTATCAAGTGCCAACTTGAGAATTCCCCAACCTATACTGGTGCCCTACTATGCAAAGAGTAAGAGATACTCATGGGTTCAAGAATCCAGCATAAGTTGCTCTGTCACATCACCCAGTTACATCTGTTAAGATGCAACAGCACTCTTCTCTCCCCGCGAATTTGGGTATAAACCACGGCCTCTATGTGGATCCCGAAGGAACCTCAACTAACTGACTACCCAGGACAGTGATGCCAAGTGTAGGGATTTTTCCCTTTTTGTAGGGATTTTTTTCAAAAATGTCACGTGTAGGGAAAAAGGGAAAGATTTCTTACTATTGTCAAATTGTAGGGATTTTTAAATTTCATAGTTTTTAACAACTAAAAATATACTCTTTCATGTATTAAAATTTTAAAATTAAAAATGAAATCAGTTTTAAGTGTATCGTTAGTAAAAATTCCGCTTGTAATTTCTACAATATATGTAGTACCTACATATCGCTACAAGACTGGCATAATCCAAAATTCGGGTTTCTTGAACTGAGGTCTGCAAAACATGCGACATACTAAAATCTTTCATATAGATTTATCAAATTTCAAATATGTCTATTATTTTCGATGTGAAATCGATTTTTTGTAAACGTAAAAACTAAAACCCACGTTTTCGTAAATATTAGACAACTAAAAATTTAATTTCAATTTAGATGAGAAACATATTAACCTCAACTATCTGAATCTGGATTTTTAAAAACCCTTGATTTGTTTAAAAGTTATTAAAAAAATAGTTAAATGTCATTAAATATTCATATCCATTTTTCCTGAAACGACTTTTTGGATTATGCCAATCCTGTAGGGCGATATATTCTGACTCCTTATAGATAGAGTAGTCGGGGGCTTAATGCAGTAACTCAGGATTGAAAAAATGAATTTAATGTTCTGAAAATTTATAAAAGTAAACCGCAAAAAGTAAACGCAAAAGTAAACCTTATTTTAAATAATTATTTTATGAAATTTTTTTTGGGGAGGCACATAAAATAAATTTTTTATCACTATTCGATATACTGCCATAAATCTTTTAATTGTCTTGTTTTTTTTTTTAATCTTAACTGAAGAGTCAGGGTTGGAAGATTTGTATGATGTAAAATTGAAAGAAAAAAAATTTTAAATTCTAGAAATTTCATTCCTAAAAATTAAAAAAAAAAAAATACATATATATATGTATATTATAAATCGGATCTAATATTTTAGTTTTTGATGTTATTTTTGTATTTTTTTAAGATAAACTTTGAAAAAAATGGAAAAAAGTAGTGTAGGGAAAAATGTAGGGAAAATAAAAAGTGGGTGTAGGGAAAAAAGGGATTTTTTCTCATAAGCGTAGGGATTTCTGAAAAAAATCTCCTGGCATCACTGACCCAGGACAAGTCCTGGCCACTCGTAGTGCCAGATTAAATGGTACTCTGGTTAGACCCTATGTCAAATCATTCCAAGGAAAGGCCGAGGATTCATTTGATCATCACGGGATATTGCAATAACATAAAGATGAAGATTTCAAGGTAACATGCCCCCGGGGGCATGACAGACGGACAAATGTAGCTTTATGGACTCAGAGTGTAATTCTGGGCCGATTAGCTTAATTTAAGGTGAAAGCATTTAATGAGATTTGGGACATGATCTTCTATTCTACCGGGGACGAAGACTACTGAAAATAGTTAAAACCGGTCCATTATTTCAACTGAATGTGGCTTTTTAGCTCATACTTGTATCTTGACAAAAGATGGCTGAACTAAGTTTTTTCACTAGACTTGATGACCTTGCCGAATTTTGTAATAACCTCATTTTGTAAAGACCTCATTTGTCCCTAGCCCCCATATAAAGCTCCCTTCAGAAAATGACTTAAATGTCCACAATTCTTTAAAAAAGGCTAATATCTCAATGAAATTCAGCATAAATACATCTTCCAAGTTTTATGAGGATCTGTCCATATTTTCCCCCCAAGTACCTTAAAAAGCATCTTTGAGAAAATAACTTAAACTATACCATGGAAAACGCGACTAATACTTGACAGAATTTTACTCAACGTACTAAATTTAACAAATGTTAAATATTTAAGATAATTTGTATGTGTGTGTGGGAGGTATAAGAAGTTGTGAACCGATTTTTATAGTAATGCACAAATAGTTTTTGAGCCATCACATTTTGATTTATTTGAATGTACTTTTCCTATATTAACGTCTATATTTACATTTACTAACATACAATGTTATTTACTTTATTTTCATTTCTATTTATTACACAGGATACGCCCACAAGGAGTGCGATGCAAATGGTGAATGGTTTAAACATCCGTTAACAAATAAAACCTGGTCAAATTATACAACGTGTGTGAATTTAGATGACTTAAATGTGAGAATATTTTTCATTTAAACATGGGAATTTCAAGATTAATTGTTAACTTTTTTCTTTCTATTTAAACATATAACAGTGGAAACATAATATAAATCTTATATATGAAGTTGGCTATGGCATCTCATTGGTAGCCATCTTATTATCCTTAGCCATTTTGGGTTATTTTAAGTGAGTATTAAGAATTTTTGTAAGATATTTTTCTTTTTAAATTTCTTAAATAACATAAATAGTAGTTTTCATTGAGTAAAAACTTTAATGATGCTTTTAGATTTGTATGTAGAGCCATTTTCAAAACATTATTATAATTGAGTGGAAATCAATCAATATCCTTTTGGACATAAAAGACTTACATAAACACAGTATTCTCATTTCCTGCATTTAAATGGAAATGAAGAATAGAAAACAGTAAAGTGTAGTCAAATGATGACTGAAGGCTAAATAGTTTTTTTTTTTTTTTTTAACAGGAAAAATATGTATGTATGTAGACTGGAATTTTGTTATGATGTTTGTAAAATAATGATAAGAGATTGAAAATAATCCTAAAAAAAATCAACATTTATTATTAAAAATTTTAATGATGTGCTGTTGTCAACGTATGAGTAATAACAGGAATTCATTGTCCTAATCAGTATTCCTTCCATCCATCATACATCGTTTTAATGTTATTTAACTTCTAACTTCATTAACAAGCTGTGGTTTGTATAATTTACTGACTTAACTGAAACTACTTAGCACTAGCTCCTGGTAATGTACATTTAAGATAAAACGTGATAGTGGAAAAAAATTATAGGACATTTTTGTCCTTTGAATGTTCTGAAAAAAATGTAGTAAAAACTACTTTACTTACATTCCACATTTAGTAGTACAAAGGGGTTCCCAACGTATTATGTGAAGCAAATCTCTTAAATATTTTTTTTAATCTCGCAGACTTCCATACACATTTATATTCCTATTTGGTACTAAAATGTGGTCAAAGTCTAGAAATTGTCATAATCCTATTGATCTAGCCCTTAAAAAGAGTTGACCGAACAGGCAAAAACGTAAGACTTCTTAGAGTTATCTTCACCGAGTACAATAGGACCTTTCAAGCTTCTAATAATTGTTGTGTTCTTTATGGAGAAGACGAGATTACCGCTTTGGCTTTCTGTCGGCAAATGATTAAATGTAAGAGGATAGCTATGAATATGGGAAACACAATTATGAGTGCAATTTGAGGAATTTAAGTTCTTCAGGTCTTAATCTGCAAATATTTCTACAATCTGGCGAGATAAATAATTTGGCTCACGGTCGCTTATCTACTTTACGATTGAACATTGTTTGGCGACTAAGACTAGATAGGGAATACAAGATGTCGAAGTGCTTTACGTGAACACATCCGTAGGGTGAGCTTCCTTGACGACTCACTACCGTCCCTTAGTTTAACTTACACGCAGGTGTCAATTTTTGTACATACAAGCACTTTGCTCAAGTACTCGAGCTAGCTAACCTCTGACCATTGGTGCCTTGTTGGTTAACTTCCGAGATGCAAAAACATCACTTCCGTTTAAAACCGCACAGATGGGACGGTCTCTCTTGAGTAGGCAATAGAACTCAGAGACTCAGAGACGTATTCGGTAAACTGAAACAAGAATCCAACAAATTTGTTGGATTCTTACTCACTGAGAACACACTGTGGTAAATCTGGTATAAATAGAGTTTTCCCCGAACATAAATGGACAAGGAAGGAAAATTCAATGATATCACTTGTATAAGATGCCTTTCATCTATCCCCACTCAATCCAACACACTTCGACACAGCCTTAGAGAACAACATCAGGCACACTCACTCTAGGTATAAGGGCGGGCAAGATCCGTAAACCCCTTACATTCATCCTGTATACTTAATACAAACTCATTTCATTTAGTCCAACAGTCACTACCTTGTGGGTTATTTGTTGTCTCGGAAACAGCACCGAACTTATCCTGAATTCAGTGATATCACTTGTATAACATGCCTTTCATCTATCGCCATTCAATACAACACACTTCGATGCAGCCTTAGAGATCAACATCAGACACACTCACTCTAGGTATAAGGCGGGCAAGATCCGTAAACCCCTTACATTCATCCTGTATCATATATACATATATACTGATTTCCAACGCTTAGTCCAACAATCACTACCTTGTGGGTTATTTGGTGTCTCGGCAACAGCACCGAACTTATCCTGAATTATAGACTTTACCGTGCATCAGTCTTTTAACCGACATTCTCTTCCACGTGCACCCCGAAGGAACCTCACCAATAACCGGGACAAGGCAGAGTCCAAATCTCTGCCCGGCCCAATTCGTTACAAGAAAAGGCCGAGGATAGATTTGATCATCACCAGTATATAGTCCCGGCAGACTAGAGGTACTGGTAGCACTTCTTTTTCCCCAGAATTGCAATCACACCAAGATGGGATCTTTCATCAAGGTAACATGCCCCCGGGGGAGCTAGGGAATACAATCCGCCGAGATAAATGGAAAATATTATGAGAAAATATGACTATGTATATGTATGTCTATAGATGCCTTAGAGGCTGTGTCCGTGTGAACATTTTATGATAAAATGGATGGACTTTATAAAGGGGGCATGACACCTCGCATATAAAGAAACTATTAACCTAGTACATGCATATATCGGAGAAAAAGTATAACATTGAAAATCCTAACGGAGCCACTTTATTATCATTATGGATATTAAAGACAAAATGGACGGACTACAAATAGGAGGCATGGTGGGCGTAGAACCTTCCATATGAATAATAAAGTGAATATAAAATGGAACTAGGAAAATAGGTTATGGGAGGGAGGATATAGGGAGTAGTGCTTGTGGACATTCGATTTAAACCTACCCACATTGCAAGTGGCAGGAAAGACTTCTGGGGGAAGTTTGTTCCACATACGGACAGTACGACTAAAGAACGAATTCTCTCTGTAGTGCATTGTGCGATCCACTGGCCAATCGACCACAAATAGGTGTGCTCTTGCTGAATGTCGTGTGTTGCATGTGAATATGCGGGTTTCGGGAACAAGTTCCCTAATTTCATAGGAACCAATTTCCATTGTAGTATCGATAGAACAGTGTAACGCACCCAACATTGCGACGATGCTCCAGTGAATCAATACCCTAGTGTCACCGATAAGTACCTTCGCCCTCTCCTGTACACGGTCGAGTAGCCCCAAAATAGACTTTGAAGCGCCGGCCCATACATGAGAGTTGTATACCACTTCAGGTCGGATGTAGGTGATATAGATAGTAAGGAGGTCAGAGGGTGTGAAGTATGTCTTACACCTTTTAAGAAAACCGAGACCCTTGAATGCTTCCTTCGACACTTGAAATATGTGTTTGGTCCAGCGAACATCACACTGTATTCTCATGCCCAGAACATCAAGAGCTTCTGACTCCTCAATATCTACAGCACCCATATACATATATAGACAACATTGAGTCTTACGTGCGTTGAAATCGACTCTATTTTTCACGACCCCATTCAGAGATTGCCACTAGGTTTTGATTAAGTGAGTTATTCATGTTTTACCTCATTCCCCCATTTTCTCCAAAGGACTTGGCATATAGTTGAATGAATAAGAATGGCAAATGTTGCCATCATCTGCAAAAGTGTTGATAGGGTTAGAAGTTTGACATAGGAGGTCATTTAAAAAGATAAGAAATAGAGTAGGAGAAAGAACGGAGCCTTGCGGTACCCCTGAATTTATCTTGAACTCGTTTGAGAGATGAGATCCCATCTATAACAACTCGTATAGAGCGATCACTGAGAAAGCTCGATATAATGCTCGATATAAAGAGAGAAGTAATTACCGACATCTAAAGCAGTTAGTTTTGATAAGAGTGCACCATGCCACACCCTATCGAACGCCATTTGAAAGATTTTTTATTAGATTTTTTTAAATTTTCAAGAGAAAACACTATTTTGACTTGTCTTTTAAGAAGATATATAATTTGTTCGTTTTTGGTCAATAATATATTGTATCGAAAATCGTGACTTGCATTGAAATGGAAATTTGTAATTATTCCATTTACATCCTTTTTACATTTACGGGTTACCCTTTATAACTTATATCCATTTTTGTTTTATTGCTGCATTAGGAAATCTCTCAGCACATACAAAGACACCTACATACATACCTCACAACCAGACATAGTGTTAATGTACTTAGTGTGTTTTTTTAACCTTTTAAGGTACTTCTTTCCTATCTGTATGTGGGAGTTTATATCCTACTAACTACATTTAAGATATCCTTGTTAATTCAACCACATAGTACACTTGTTCACGACCACTCACACATATTTTCGCATAAACGTATACGGTGTAATATATAGATATATCCTGATGTTGGAAACGTGTTGAAATATGTAGTTGGAAAAAAGGTCAAAAGTGCACAATCAGCTGAAAAAAAATAAATTAAACAAAACTACACAATGTACGAGACACATTTATTTCTGTTAAAGTCAATGCTACAAAAAAATATTGATTTCTATTTTAATATAAGTTCATATTGTGGGTTTTAAACGTGGGATTTTTGCTTAATAAATTTGAAGAAAATTTAATTAAAAGATGACAAAGATAAAGTTGTCATTGGTTTTGAAAAAAAGAGATAAATTAGAATTTCGAAATGATTTAAGTTTTTTGACATAGAATCTCTATAAGATTTGCATCCAAAATTAAAAATTCTAGTAACAAAATCAAATTAAAATATTTTTTTAATCACATAATCTTTAAAGTTACTCTTTTGTTTCTTTTAAAATAGTCTGACAAAAAACAAAATTTTTGTTTTTACATAAAATCTAGATTTCATGTAAATTCACTTGGACGTATGATTAATATTATTTTATATACTTTATATTTAAATATTTATCATACGCTCTATATATAAAATTTAAATTAAAAAAAAATATATATATTTTTAAATTTATTTATAGTAGATTAAGCTGTCACCTATAAATTCTTTTGTTTTTAAATTATATCGTTTCCTTATATCCTTAAATTTTATACACAACATTTATTTTTCCTTTTCCATAAACAATATGTTTGTTTATATTATTCTTAAATCTCAATAAATATTTAAATGTTGAGTACAAAAAGAATAATATTTACATATTATTTTGTGTAACATGTGGATTT